CTGAAAGCTTCATATTTCATTGCCCCAAAGGATTTTTTTTTAACGTTTTGTGTGTACCTTTATTATTAAATCACTTTTCTTCGCACTTTACCATAATTCAGTCACAGCAATTCACAAATATTTAAAAATGGCGCAAATTTAAGAATTTCCAATACACAGTTTCGGGCGCGGAGTACATTTCTTTTTTGTACAGTGTTCCCGTTCACGCTTTTAAATCGATGAGTTTTTAATTAAAAATTTGTTAAGTTTTGCAATTGGGAATAGCTAATAAACAAATTCCAATTCGTAATTCAGTGCTCATGTTTGGTTGGAGACTACTTTATTCAAATTGGATGGCTCTAGGTACTGTTTGTTTTTGAAAATGCAAAAACCATTCATGCATTCATGCAGAATCTTCATTATTTAGTTTCTTTAATATAATGCATGGCATAATATTTTAGCAACAGTTTGAAAAGTGAATCAACGCAGAAAGTGAAACCACGCAAAATGTCGTTTTGAGACTTGTACTTGTTTTAATCACAATGCGAGAAATATGCATATATTTATGCATTTTTGCATTATTTAATTTCTTCGAATATAATGCAGGACTCTAACATTTGTGGCACATTTTGAAAAGTGATAATATTATTGCTAATTCGTTAAAAACCGTATAAAAATTAACAGACTATACTATGCCAATAGTTCTGTTTAGCAGCTTTTCGTGTGCCGTCTTTACTACAATTCTCATGTATCACACTTAATGTGAACAAGCTGTTAGCTTCCAGTTATGGATGGATGAAATTTAGTTTAAAAGACGGCAATCATTATTAATAGAGGAGAAACTTTGCTCCCCGGATTCTTTCCTTCCGGTGAGGTGGGTCGGTTTCTTTAAGGAAACGGTGGAAGCAATCACGGGGGAGAACATACGATTTTCCCGCAGGCAGCAGTTGGAAAAACCTCTGTCGAATGTCTTTCTTTGCTCAGCTGCAGCCAGCTCACGTCTACCCTTAAAACCTCCCTCAATAAGCAGCCCGCATAACCCTGCCCGTTTGGCAGGTTTCCCATCTCCAATCGCGACATTATTTGCGAATTTTAAGTCCTTTTTTCCGTTCCGTATTTTCCGAGTACATTTTTTCCGTTCCTTATTTTCCGGGGACAGCTTTCTTTCCCTTTTTCGGGTTGACATTTTTTCCGCCATTATTAACTAGGAGTATATATACGGCTTTACTAATTGGGAATATGATTTTGGCCTTTACGACGAACTGTTAAAAAAATAATCGACGTAACGTCTACATTGATAAGCATAATGCACAATGTTCCAAAGACCTAGTTTAAATTTATATGTGATTATCCACATAACACAATCGTATGATTAATTCTATTCACTTTAAGTATCTTTTATAGAATATTTCACATTTAGTACATTTGTATAACATATTTCATTAAATGTAAGGCAACTTTCTTATGTAAAAGCTAAATAATGTTCATTAATTTTAAAAGTTATATAAACTTGTGGTGATATTTATGATATGACACTAAATAGTTTGCTATAAGTTTGCTATTTGGAAAAATAAGAAAATAGCCATACATTTTCTAGAAACATTTAATTTTTTTCTGGAAACATGTTTACTTGGAACATTTTTTCCAGGATAATTTTTCAGGGACATTTTTTTAACACCGTGCGTAATAACACTGCGTAATAACAGTACCGTGTGAAATAAATTTTCGTAATGATAATTTTTTATCAAATAATACAGTTGTCCATTTATCCGCACTTCCTGTTATCTGAGGTAATCCACATTACCTTAAATGATTGAATTCCACACATATGATAAGAAAACCTAATTAAACAAAACTTAATTAAAAGACTTAATTACTAAAAACCTACATAAAATATTTATCAGGACAGAGAATAATGCATATTAATTAATTTTCAGATTTAAATAACACTGTCTTTCATGTTATTTTTTTCATGTTATCCGTATTTTTTCCCGTGCAATTCCCGTCTGAGTTATTTATTCTAGCTGAGTACTTCTTCTTCTCTTCATCATTGTCTCGGTCCTGTTATTATGTAAGAAGTATTTAAATTCTTTATAAAAATGCACTAAAAATAAAAATTGTTAGCAAATAAACGCATTGCACAATTTACATACTACATTTACATATAAATATATATGTAAACAACATGTCTAGAATTTAATTGCACACTTTCGACACGTACATTTCGTTTCCATAAAGAGTGTAATCTCTTATCATATGTTTCTATGTTTACACAATAATAGGCTAGGTTGTTTAAATATGGCAAGGCACACAAAGGCTATCAAGCTTAGAGAAAGGATGCCTGCGATGAGGGCTTTCTCGATACCAACCACGAAGCCAGCCTCTTTGCCTGAAATGGCACTGCGTTCAAACTCCTAGCATTCAGCGATTTTAACCATTCGGCCACCAATAGGGGTCATGATTACAGTAAGATTAAAGATTATAATTTATAAATTCGAATGCTTTGCGAAACGTTTGTTCATATAAAATTAAATGTGAAACAAAAACAAAAAAATTCAATAAAAAATGAAAATGCGTCAAAAAAACGTGCAGAGTGACTTTAAGATTTAAAGCTCATAGCTCATTTCTGATTTTCCTGGTAGACTCAATCTTAAGTTTCTCAAGTAAATGGTTTTCTTATAGTATGATAGTGGCTGTGATCTACATGCATCTGGTACTCGCTGCTCGACAATACGTGGATAAATATCGATAGAGACCTCGAGATACGTAATTAATAAAGTACTTCTGATAAAACTCAACATTCAGATCATTACAATAGTCCAGTTGTGTACAAAAAAATATGACACGGAAGGCTTTTTTACCACTTTACTTAGAGTATAATATGCTTATATAAGACATCTCTATAACTAAAACTTGGATGTTGGATTGCTGTATTTTTTACTCTTTTTATTTTAATTCTACACAGATATTTTTATTCTAACTAGACTCATCTCTCTTTTCTATCTTCATTTTACTTCTAATTGTTTATCATAAAATTTCAGTCTAATTATTTTAAGATTCAATTACTATCTGATATTTGATTTAAAGATCTTTTTCTTTGGGTTTGAACCATTTTAAATAATTAAAATAATTTATTCCGATTTCAAAACTCTGTTTACTAGCTTTTCTCAGTAAAGATGCTAATATTCGTTACCTGAAAGGAACCTCGAGTTTAATTTTTATTAAATTTTTAATCTGTTCCAGCACTATATACAAAAAACTGCTCATTAGTTTTAAACTAGCAATAATGATTCCAGATACACTAAAAATAAATCAAATTGTAAATTGCTTAGCTGACATTTTTCAGTTCACAGAAATTTTCCTGGTGTTCAACTACTAATAAACATATACTAACTGTGTTCAATAATGGAACACCTGCTTATTTTTACTTAACAAACTGTAAAACGTCATTTGAGCCTGAAGGGGAAACAGGTGGCTCCTGCCTCGAGAAAACCATTGTTTGACAATTAGGTAAATAATGTATGTCTGATGCTCCAAGTCTTAGTTGTACCTGAAACTCGGAAACTTAACTGCATTTTCTGTCAGAGAAGCCAACATGCCGTTACACTATATCATCAGCCAAAAGAACCGTAAACAACTTATGGTGAAAGGATACATCTATAATTTTGAACGTGCTAGTGCTGAGAAAAGTATTTGGAAATGTGTAGAGTATTTTACTTGTAAGTGCAAAGGGCGAATTCACACTCAAGATGATAATATCATTCTTGAAAAATCTCACGGGCATCCTCCAAATGCTGGCAAAATTACAGCGAAAGAGATTATGAGTTCAATTAAAGAGCGTGCGGTAACAACGCAAGAATCGACACATTCTTTAGCAGCAGTTGGTACAATTGGTCTTCCTTGTGCTGTTTCGGGGCATATACCACCAGTGGAAAATATTAAAAAAATTATCAGATATGCTCGACACGGAGAAATGCCATTGCATAATCCTAGATGTCTTGAAGAATTAGTAATCCCAGAACAGTTTTCAAAAACACTAAAAGAAGAGAAATTTTTGCTGTATGACAGTGGAGCGCAGACAGACAGAATTCTAATTTTTTCGACCCTCAGAAAATCTGGACTTCATGGCTGAATGTCCGAACTGGTTTTGCTGATGGAACTTTTAAAGCAACACCACCGCTTTTCAGTCAGATTTATACAATCCATGGTGTTTTAAATATGATAATGTGATACCTTCAGTGTATGTATTAATGCCAAACAAACGCGAAGAAACATACAATAGAGTGTTTACGGTGATAAAATCTTTGAAACCGAATCTGCAGCCCAAAACTCTAATGACTGATTTTGAAAAGGCTGCCATAAATGCCTTTAAAAATTCCTTTCCGAATGTCATTCAGAGAGGATGTTTTTTTTTTTTTTTTTTCATTTAAGTCAGTGTGTGTATAGAAAGATTCAGTCTGCAGGTTTGCAAAGTAAATATGAAACTGATCCGAATTTCGTTTTGGAAATCTCTCAACTTGCAGCTTTGGCTTTCGTTCCTACTTCAGATGTCATTGAAGCATTTGAACAATTAATATCATCTACTTATTTTGTAAATAATATGAACATCATTCAGCCAATCATAAATTATTTTGAAGACACATGGATTGGTAGATTTACTCGTCGTGGACAACGTCGCAGACCAGTGTTTGACATCCCTCTTTGGAACTGTTATGATGCTGTAAAAGATAAAGTTCCAAGGACAAATAATGCGGTTGAAGGATGGCATCGCAGATTCAACGAACTTATGAACGGATGCCATCCAACAATCTGGAAATTTATTGATTGCTTAAAAAAGGAACAAAATTTAAATTCTATAAAAAATTGAACAATACATTGCAGGTCACCATCCACCAGTAAGTAGAAAAGTTTACAGAGATACATCTCTCAGAATTCAAAAGATTGTAAATGATTATAATGATCGGCCTATTTTAGACTATTTAAGGGGAATAGCCTACAATTTTCAACTGCAGGTGTAAATTTTTTATACATTAATTAATGAGGATGTTTAATGTCTGATATAATTATACATGTTTTTATTACTACAGCTTTAACATGAGTCGTAATTACATTATATTTTCTGAAAAATATTAGGCGAACTTTTATGCTCTTAGAGTTGATATTTACAATTATACTAGCTTTCATGAATATATGTGAATGATATTTTACTCCATATAATGTGTTTTATTTAAGCCTCTTTGGTATACACTCTTTTGGTAGTATAAATCAAATTTTATTTCATCAGAGAATTATGAACGACAAATGATGATGCCTTGTTCGTTTAAATATCATTTATTAACTGAAACGGTATGCGAAGCTAAAATTTATTGGAGATTTGGTATTAACAATAACGATATTTTTGAAAAATTTCCTATCAATTAAAATTTTATTTCGTTTCATTTTTCATTAATTCATGTTTGTGTGAGAAAATGACTTTAGAGTATTTGTTTACAGTGGATAAATTTTTAGCTTAATAAGCTATCTTATATTTAATAAAATTCAGTAAATTTAATACCATTGTGGATGCATATAAGACGAAATTTTCAATTTCTATTCCTTTCTGAAATCATCCTGATCAGGCAGCTTAATATTAAAGAATACGTTTAAGAGTATTTTTTAACTCGTAAAGCAATGGGAGATATATTTTACTTAATTTTATCTCAAATAATAAGATTAGACTTTTAATGGCTTTTCTTGTAACTTACTTTGATATATCAAACTTATATACGTGGGCACATCTTATATGTAAGCCCCTTTTGGTCTTTCTGAAAGATTCTTAAAAGAAAAAACTTTTTCATATATGACACCATTATGTTTTGAGACAATACGGTATACGGTATTTTATTGCGTATTTCTCTGCATATTTAAAAGGGGGAAAATTTGAAAACTGAGGTAAGAGATTTGCTTTTAAATCCCTAGTCATTTCAATTTTGATCAATACTGATTATATAATAACATAATTTTAAAAATAATTTATTATATGACAGTAATGTAAATTTAACGTTAAAAATCCTTAACAGCAGTTTTTCATTTGCTAAATATAGAATGATATATAAATGGAAGTTTTATTTGATAAATATGAAAGGTATTTTAGAGTTTCATGTTTTTTTTGCAATGGGTAACACTATAAACATCGGTCTTTTGCTACAAAAATACATTCTCAAAATATGCTTATGGTTTTCCATGTATAGCTTATTCGCAAATATTTATGAAGCAATATTAAATATTAGTTCTAACTTAGGCGGAAATTTCTGCTATGTTTACAGTTTTCTCGCGCTCCTAATTTTTTAAATGTATACAATGAAGTATTTATTATTTAATTAATTTTTTATAACTGCATTAATAGATGGTACATTATTTGCAAAGTTTTGACATGATATCACCTTTTTTACGAAATGAAGGAAAGTAAAATTATTGTTTATTCTTAAGCTACAAATTTTGAACAAGGCTGACATATCTACGCTAAATTTTATAATGGTGCCATAAATATTTTTCATTATTCAATAACAACTATAAATTTTTATAATTACTTAAAAATCGTAAAAGAGTGGATTATAAAGCACTGTGTTTAATAAAAATAATATAATATTAAGAATGGCAACTTTTGATTAAAATATAGATTCAAATATTATTATTTCCTGACGCACTGCAAAATCTGAAAGTAACACAGTCTATTGTAAACGAATTTTTCAGGATGCACTTTTGGATATAATTTGATCTGAGAAATAAACATTAATACAAGGTGATTATGTAATTCAACAAACAATCTCTATACTGCTTCATAAAATAGATAACTTATGATGGAGTCTTCTTTTATAAAATACTGTGGTTTAATGTTGCAAACGAAGTTTCAGCTTAAGTTTGGAAATTAATATAGAGGGAAAGTTAAAAAGAGTCTTTCAAAACTAACAAGTTAGCATATGAATAGCATTAGGGAAGAATATAAAACACATTTCAGTATACATTCAGTATTTATTTCACAATAAGGAAACATTTTTCACTATATAAATAGCATAAGGAAATACTTTTTCAGTATATGAATGTAAAAAAACTTTTCAGTATATATCCAGTACTTATTTCAGTATAAAAAACCCATTTGATTATGTAAATAGCATAGGGAAAGAATTTTTCAGCATATGATTCATATATTATATTTATATATTAATATATCGATTTCTTTAATCAACTTTCGATTTCTTTAAAAAACATTAACATTTAAGAACTAATCAATAGAAAAAATGCAAATAAACAAAAAGTAAACATATTTAATTAAAATAAAATTTTAACAAACATTCTCTATTCGTAAAAAGCAAATTTAAAGTTAATTAAATTTTAAATTATGAAATTTAATTGCAAACAAATAAATGATTAATTATTGCCTCGAACTAATCTACAATATCATTTAAATTCTGAGAGCATATATAAATTACGTGAAAGTATCAAAATCCATGAATAAATATATAATTCCAAAAAATGTTTTAATCGTAAAAAAAATTTTTTTAAGTGCATAAGTGAATTGTTGAGCAGGCAGGAGACAAACTTATCAAGGGAAGATGCCTCCAAACCTAACTCTTCAATTATTCAATTCGTGTTTCGTCATCCATGTATTCAGAATTTAAATGATATTGCAGATTAGTTCGCATCAATAATTAATCATTCATTTGTTTACAATGAAATTTCATAATTTAAAATTTAATTTACTTTTAATTTGCTTTTTACGAATAGAGAATGTTTGTTAAATTCAAATTTCATTACTTAAATCAATGCGCAAGAGAATTATTAAATTTAATTTAACTTAATGTTTATTAAAAGTAAAACTATTATTTAACTAAAATATTTATTCTTTTTAATTAAAATAAAAATGTATTTTTTATTCACGAGAGATGCCTTTGACAAGAATTTTTATGTCTGTTATGGAACTTGAAGGGCATCAAAAGAACTTTTGAAATCTGCACTGAGATTGAACTTATTGAGATCTGTAGTTTTCAAAGCTTTATTTTTTTTTTATATGAGATAAGGTTGGTTCGTGTAAAAAAAAAAAAAAAAAAAAGATCTAAAATGAGAAAAGATATATATTTTTTTTACTTTTCAAACGAAAATATCAAATGCTCCTCAGCTGACTACCTCCTATCCAACCTTTTTCACATTTTAAATGATTTTTAAAATTATTTGGATGATTACTCCAGGAACCAAACCTTTTTTAGTAAGATCGGTCAAAAGTACGCAATTTGTCTAGTAATTTAATGAAAAAAAAAAAAAAGAAAAAAAGAAAGACATGAAAGAAAAATAAGATATTTACACCAGTTTTTTTTTTAAAAATAATATTGTAATTATTTAGTAAAATCATATCTTCTTCTATAATGCATACCACATTACTTCATTTTGTTTAAATTGTAGAAGATATTAAATTTAAGTAAAAATTTCAAATTACCTTTGAATGCCGCTTCCAGATACTTTTACAACAGGTAAACGAGTAAACAAAAAGTTAACATTTCTAGTGTCCTCTCCTGAAATTAAACTCATACTCTATACATAACTGTAAATAAATTAAATGAATATTGTAGAAAAAGTATAAATCTTCTTCATTAAAATTTCTGAATTTATGTGTTCATTGATACTGGACTATCAAAAATGCAAATTGTGTGTGTCTTTCAAATTGCAAATTCATAGATATGCAAGAAATTCATATTATATTTAATTGTAGGGAGTTATGAAACTAGCATATTTTTCAGTCATAAATGTAAAGACCTACATTCATTTAAGTCAATCAGAGTTTTTACGTCTGCTTTCTAAACATTTGTCAATAAAATAAATATAACTCAAATATTTTTGTATACAAATCAGAAAGACCAAGAATTCTGAATACAATTGAGAAAATTCATAATTATCTGATTGTTTTATAATTCTACATTTCCTATGAGCTATAATTTTATTGCAATTCTTACCCATTACAATTAGGAATATATTAATCCTAGAAGCATTTGACATTCATTTAAAAGAAATTCAAAAACATTTAGAGAAACTACTATTTTCTACTTTTATATATGTATTAGTTTTCAATAACAAGAGGATTTCCCAAAAATTTTGGTCCAG